CATCTTCCAGGATGTCATTCAGAATCCAAGAATACATAATTGTGCGTGACCCTTATGGTCATCCAGCATATTTTCCCATTTCGGCACTCTTCCAGACATTATGACAGCATAGTTTCCGAGGAATGGATGTCCAGAGTGGTATCATGCATGGTTCAAGACACAAGACTCACCAGACCTGCTTTTAGAAAAACTAAAATCTTATTTACTTGGGTGCTAACCTGGAGCATGTTTAGGGCTGTGGGTTTGCTCAGCCCTGGCTTACATTATGTGGCTGTCTGCCTGGTGGGTATTTGGGGTTAGTTTTCATGTTGCAATTTTAGTGTGCGTGTCTTTTATAGCATGGGAAAGAATGTTGAATAAAGTGACTCTTGACAGGGAAACACTCTGCAGCGCAGAGTACAATGTCAAAAGTGCAGGCACTAGAATCTCCATGAGTGCTTTTCAGGGAAGGATACAGGATATCTGGCTACAGCCGATGCACTGTCTCTCTCCTCCACCAACCCATTCTAGTAACCAGGGCAGAAAGTGGAGTTTTGCCTAGCTTACCAGGCACAGAAGCAACTTTCACTGCACTGGCACAAACTTCTGTTCACTGTTGCTACTATGGCTGTACAACCTGCTTAAACTTACTGTGAGTGTATAAGCATGTGTGCATTTAGACAAGGATGAATCGCATCGTGACAAGATGAGAAATACTCAGCGATACTGCAAGTAAGAAGGACCTGGCATTGTTGTAGATCACAAGTTGTATATGAATCTACAATATGATGCTACAAAAAGGGCAAATGCTATTTAGGCTGTATTAATAGAAGTAACACTTCCAAATCACATGAAGTATTAATTTTCCTTTACTCAGCACTGGTTAGGCCTCAACTGAAGTACAGTGTCCAGTTCTGGGCACCATTTAAGAAAGATGCAGACAAGCTGGAAGAGGTTTGGATAAGAACAAGGATTATCTGGGAACTGGAAACAAAAGCCCTACGAGGCGAGATTGAAAGAACTGGGCATGTTCAATCTCAAGAAGAAAAGACTGAAGAGAGATAGGATAGTACTCCCTAAGTACTTGAAAGGCTGTCACAAAGAGGAGGAAAAGATCTCTCAATCATCTAGAGTGCAGGACACAGAATAATGGGCTCCAGTTACAGGAAACCAGATTCCAGCTAGGTATCAGGAAAAACATCCTGACTGTTAGAGCAGTACAACAATGGAACTAATGACCTAGAGAGGTTGTGGACTCTCCCACGCTAGGGGCATTCAAGATGCAACAGGGCAGCCATCTGAGAGGGATGGTTTAACCTGGAGTCCTGCACTGAGCAGGGGGTTGGACCCAATGGCCTTCTAACTCTACTATGATTCTATGAAAATGTATTTGCTTTGGTAAGTACAAATCCAGCACACATGCATGCACGCGCGCACACGTATGTGCATAAACCTACTAAAGACTTAGGACTGGGGAAGGATGAAGTGCAGAACACTAGCCACTTGTAACATTTAAGGGGTCTGAACTGGAAAGGAGATAGGAGTGATGCTGTCAGCACTATACTGGCCTGTGCCTGCACCATGCTGCCATATTCTTTACAGCAGAGAAAAGGAATATGCTAGCCAGGAATAAAATATGCTGAGGAAATGCAGTATCCCTGTAGCAGAAATACTGGCTTGAGAGATGTGCATAAATGAGTTCGCCTGCAAACATATATTAGTCCTGGCCCTATTGCCAGGTAGGGAACTTGGGCCACTTAATCTGGAAACCAATGTACCACGACACTGAGCCCTGTATAGACATTCAGATGCTCAGTGTGTGTGCAATAAGAACATGTAACTTCAACATGCATTGGTTCTCATGTTTATCTATGTGCATTCATCCTGGGGAAGTTTGTGGTGATTCTGTATTGATTCCACCTGCCTATGTATGCCACTACCACCAAGGTTCTTGATGCTATCTCACTATGTCTATGTTTTACTTTAAATATCTCTATCCTGCTTTTTAATGAAAATGTTTGAGACAACATCATGTCCTAATACTAATAGCACATTGTATAAGAATAAATGACAAAAGTAATTGCAGTCCTAACATCGAACTCTTAATTTGCTGATGTTCTTGTCCTGATACTGCATTATGTACAACTAGAGTCCCTAATATCTAAATATGTGACAAAGCATACAGAAATGAATGCCAAGGGAATTCGTCGCTTCTGTAAAGGAAAAATTTCAGCAGCTGACAATCCAGTGTGAAGTCCGTCTTTAATAAATCTGTGTGTAAAAACAACAAATGGAGTGGAGGGACCCTGCAACCTAGAAATGTTTGCACAGAACAAAGAGTAGGACAGCACTAGTGCCATACATAGTAGGGCATGCCAATAAAATATAAAGTCACATGCACTGGTATGGAAAAGTTCTGTGTTGCTGGAAGTGGTTAGGTTAACTAAATTTGAGCCCTTTAAGATGGCACTGGTTTCAGTGTAAGAAAAGGGTTCAGTCTGAATATTTGTCAGATAAGTGGCCTTTGGTGAGATTGAGAAAGGAATGCATTTAACATTTGAAACTCCCTTGTGTTGGTTGCGCCTTGTACCTCAAACTAAGGCATGGTTTAGCAAGACAGACCACAGGGCACCTTCAATTTGTGCAGTGTTCTTCATTTCCTGCTCCCTTGGTTGCCTAAGGGGAGGAGCTCGGAAGCTTTTGCTTCTGTTTTAAACTAACTGCAGATGGTTGTAATGTCCAAACCCAACATGTCCAAGCTGGTCGTGTCTGGAAAATCTATGTTCTCATAACCCTTCAGAATTTTCCAAAAGGCCATTGGAATGCAATGCGTTCCCATGGCCTTTGAGAATGAATCAATGCGTTCCAATCACTTTTGAGAGACTGAGTTTGTTCACATAGCCATTCAGAAAGAGAATGAATCCAAACAACCATTCAAGGCCATTGATCCTAGTACCTCTCAGTTTTACCACCTACTTCCCATTCTGTCCAAGCATCTAAATTCCACTTCTAGATTCCACTGGGGTTTTATGCAGTGTCCAATAAAAGAAGAATGTATTTAGACCCACAGGCTCAGCATTGTCCATTATCATTTCTAAAAGCAACTACTATATATGGCACACTGTATAAAAATAGAGAAGCAAGTCCGTACTGGCACTCAGTCTTGAAAATAAGATTCAAGATGTGCTGGGGGCTGAACTTCGCACCGTCTAACAGACACTGGAAATGCCGCAAAAATCCAGCACAGAACAGCTGCATAGTTATTTAAGTTCAATGTTTTTCATATTTTACAAGAAAACATTCTTGCCTGTGAATATAATCAAGATCTGAAAACTGAACAACTGCTACAACTTGTAAACATTTCACAGTCTGTGATGTTGTTTGGATGATCATTTTCTCGGCTTCCTAAATGCAGAAGTGAAACTAGCCTTTTGCCTGTACACTCAAGCCCTTTTTACCTCTGTGGACTGAGCAAGAAATCTGAAAGCCTTTGATTAACCATCGTTTCCCATTCTGATGAAAATGAGAAGCTGCGGTTCCTACTTCAGAACAGACCAGGATATTAAATCCACTGTAACCTGTAGGTTGATTCCTACTTGGCCCTAAAGCTTGTTTCAGCTGAATGGTAGAAGATTCTTGATTTTCTTAAGTCATGGCTGTTAACATGAGGGAACTAGACAGAGTCCTCACTACATTTCCAGAATGAGAATGTAATGGCCGTCATACAGTATTAGGGCAAAAACATTCTACTCATCCCCAAGGGTCTGCTTTGTTACTCCCTTGTATGTGGTGGGTATGCCATACCATCTCCTGGGATTACCATTGAAGACACTTGAATAAATCATACGATTTTGTCTAGCTGACTGGGTCACATGGCAATAGTTTTTCAAACCCCTGCATGTGTAAGCAAAGTCAAGAAGCTTTTTACATATCATGCATATTTTTCTCCCCAGGGGAGGTAGGATGCTCCCAGACAAATCCAAGTGCTGCCACTCAAAAGGAACAGTACAACTGTGCTGTCATTCTCTCCTGAGTTGGTTTTCTATGCTTAAAAAAGGATGGAAGATGTGTTGGAAAAGGGGAGAAGGGTTACAACAGCAAAGATCATTTCATGCCGGCTCTGCAAAATTCTATAAATTAGCTAGGGTGATCACACATTCAAAGCATCATTGGGAAGCAGCCTAAAGTGCCCATAGACAAGAGCGGAGAAATCCAGGCTTGTTGCAGAACTGATTGGGAATCATCTAGAAAACAAGACGAACGATTCATGTTCACTCAGCAGCTGCATTATTTACTAATGTGATTTATGCTCCCATGACACATTTGCCAACATGTCTTTGGGGCAGGAAATTTCTGCATGCAGCAGAACCTGAAGTGGACTGGGACAGATTCTGGCGTGACAAGTAGCCGGACTACAGCTTTAATACCAGAGATTTACGGGCGGAAGGATTTTGGCTGGGAATCCAATCCAGCTTTGGCCCGTGACTAACAAGCAGTGCCACCGTAATTCTCTCTGCCACACCCACCCACAATATAGAACAATAGCTGCATTTGCCATGTGCTCCGCGGAGCGGCTTAAGAAGTGGATTATATTTTGTTGCTTCCTTTTTGTAGCAATTTCCGTTTCCGTTTAGCAACACTAAGGATTTCTGCATCTCTTTCTATAAGCAGTTCTATTTTATTAGAAAGCGTATCTTTTTTTTTCCGATGAGCCAGCGAACAACACCCCACCTTCGAGGCGTCCGCAGCCGAAGCAGGGCAGCCGCTGGGCGGCGCGCGTGCGCACTTCCCGCTAGCTCCCCCTCCCCAGGAACAGTCATGCGCATTCTACCTCAGAAACCTTCTCCTCCATAGCCCCGCCCCTCCTTTTCTCTCTCTCATCCGAACCGCGTACGTGAGAAGCGTCAGGGAGGAAAGGCCACAGCGGTGCGAGGAGTGCAGCAGCAAGGGGTGTGGCCGCTCGCGCGCCTGCGCAGTAGCCCGGGGAGGCGGGGTGGTTGGGGCTGCTGCTCTCTCTCACGCATAAGAGAGACACTCACATAGTGTTGTTGTTGTTGTTATCGTCGTTGTCCTCCTCTTCCTCCTCCTCCTCGCTGCTGCCGCCGCGGACAGCAGAGTTCCTCGCTTACCGCCGCCATGGCCTCCCCTCAGGAATCGCCTCACCACAACAATAACAACAACCCGCCGCTGGAGGGGACGCCCACCGAGCCGGGCCTGAACAGTGAGTAGAGTGGCTTCTTCCGCCGCTAGCCTCTCGCCTCCCTCCTCGCCCCTTTTCGGCGCGTCTTCATAGAAGCCGATCCTGCCGAGGCAGGCAGAGCGGGAGCGGGAGAGTTCATTTCCCCTCAGGTGGCGAGGGGGGTGCCCATCCCCCCTTTTCGTGCCCGCTTGGCCGGGATTGGCTGGGAGCCGGGCCGCGCGAGAGGCTTTTCTCCAATGGGAGGTGTCGGGTTGGCTTGGCTGTGGGGGGAAGGGGCTCTTAAAAGCGGGGAGGGGGCGCCAGAGAATGTGAGTGGGGAGGGGGCGTCGGGCTCCGGGTCCAGAAATGGCGGGCGGGCGGGCGAGGGTCCTCGGGAAGGAGCCCCTTGCAAGGCAGCACAGCGTGCCGGCATCCCCTTGCCTTTCTCCTTTGTGCTCCCGGGGTGGGAGGGTGTAGTAAGCCTGGCTAAAACAGTTTAAAGAGGATGTCCGAATATAAGGCTCAGTGCCTGGGCTCGTTTGTGGATCTCTCTCTCAAAAACAAAAAATCTTCTTTCTGAATGGCACCTACGTGGCCCTACCTTTCGTTGAAAAGTAAAACAAGAAATGTCTGCAAGAAGGGCTTTTAAAGTACAAACTTTGCCCCCTGCCTTTTACTGGCTGCAGTTTAATTTAGTTGTGTTGCTTCTGTTTAATCATTTAGGAATCGAGTTCTGTCATTTTGAGGAGCAGTTTAGCTTTCAAAGCTGATGCTGGGTGGAACTTGGTTTTTTGGTCTTGTAAGGTGCCATTTTTTTCCTTTGTTTCACAGTGGGCTAAGCTTGACAAGAAGTGATGCAAGGGTCCAAGCTTAAGAACCTTAAAATTAAAATTTTTGATGCATTTGGATTTATACACTTCTATGAAACCAAAGAAGCCCAGAGTGTGTTATGGCAGTGAAGAGACATGAGAAATCAGTCAACCCTTTGGAAAGAAGGGGGATTAGGTGGCTGCTGACATCAGAAGTCTGGTCTGTTGGGGAGGGGCAAGGAATGGGCTAATGAGTCCATGGCCGCTGACTGGGTCTTTAGGAATTAATAGAAGTGGTAAGAGGAATACTGGGGCAGAATGGAATGTGAGAGAAAGACCTGTGCATTGCTTTGTTTGTGTATCTATCTTTTTAAAGGAAAAAAAGCCTCAACAGAATGCATTGAGAGCTTGATCCTGCATTCCTGTGCTTACTAGGAAATGTGGTTTACTGGAGTCAGTTTGATGACAATTAAACTTGGTTTGGATTGGGCTTAGAAGGAGGCTTCAGAGCTGAGGTAGGAATAATGGCTGACAAAAAGTACTGATAAAAGGGTACAGCAAGGAATTTGAGACTGTATGGAATGAGAGAACTGAGTTGCCATGTTGTGATAGGCCAAATTATTTAGTTTCATCCTACCTTAGATAGCAAGAGAAGAGCTATGGTTGGGATTCTGGGGAGGAGCCAGAGGGTGAGAATAAGTTTATTCAGTGGCTGAGACAATATTATGGATATGTGTCTCCCCCCCCCCTCCCATATCTGGGGTCTGTCAGCTGGTCTGGTAGAGCTGTTTGTTTGTGGATCATGTTGGAAGACATCCAGATAGTGCCTGTTTGCATTTCATAGTGGTGAAAAGGTTCTTGATCATCTCACATGCTTAGCTAGGTAATGCATGTGCAGTCATGCTTTGAAAGAGGCCTTGCCTGCATGAAAAACAGTCTTCTTTTCCTTTATTTTCTCTCTCTCCTTATGGTTCATGCCAAGTAAGGCAGTTTATCTTTTTGCAAAATACTTATCTATTGAATGGGTTTGCAGACATGACATTACAGGATATAAAAATTCAGTGTAACTTGCAAATTTGCATGCTATATTTTAAACTGTCTGAACAGAAGATATTTTCTCACTTGCCCGGTATTAAAAAACTTCTTTTAAAATTCCTGAACATTCCTTAACCAGAAGCACACATTATGTATTGTCCAGTTATTATTTATAGAGATTTTGTATTCAGTTTGAAGTCCTTTTCCTGTATCAATTTTTCCATTGAAAATCCCAGCAAGTTGTTTTTGCCTGTTCTGGTGAAAAATACAGGGATTTGTATCTTCATATAAAGACAGTCCAAGGGAACTATACTCAACAGTGGAATGACATCAAGGAAAACGGCTAAGAATCCTTTCCTTGTTTTGGTTGTCTTCTCCAATTTTGTTTTGTTTATACAAAAACAACCAGTGGCATTGCAGTTTTAAAGGTGCCACTTCATGGAAATACAATATAGAGTGGTTAACTGATATTTCAGGAATGATATATCATGGCATCTGAGCAGGCATTGCAAAACCTTCAAGTGATCAGGTTAACATTTTTACTGTTTTTACAAGGCATAAATTGCAATGGAGAATCTCTGCTAAAACAACTGGGTTTTACCATATCAGCTTTCATTTACAAGAATCCTCTGTGTAAATAGTCTCCAAACAAATAAGACCCACCCCATTTGCTACATGGTTGTATAAATATCAGGAAGTAGATCTGAAGTTACTGTGGAATTATTTACACACCTTTTTAAAAATGGGTCTACATGCAAGAGCAAGGGTGAGCAGAAAGTACAAGGTTTTCTGACTTGCCTAACAGTAGCAGCAACACAATTATTCCCTGCCCTAAATCATATTACTGAAATGAAGAAAACTTAGGATAACTCCTGATGGAAAGAACTGGACATTGATCAGTTTTAGTACTCAGAACACATTTGTGAGTTCATACTTTTTCTAAGTGTATGTCTTTTGCTCAAGGCTCTGCTTGGTAAATCTCAGTTCTTGTAAACACACACAAGCTGATCCCATGAGGATCTACACAGAGGAGGTTCTACACAGTAAAAAGGAATAAGGATGACCAAGGAACTCCTGAATAACATCCCTGTGCTAACTTCAGATGGTGGGGGGGGGGTGAGGTTGAGTGAAAATAAAGCAACTCTGTTATATTCTGTGATTCTGTGTACCCCCTTCATTGCAGACCTTCAGTTCTTCATAAGCATTGCATCTGAATAATATGAGTCAGTTGTCGCAATAATGCAAAATCATTTATATATGTATACTGTGCCATTCCAAATATTAATACTTTGTATATTTTAGTAACAGTGGGCACTTTTCATACTTTCCCTGTTGCTCAGATGCATAGGAGTGAAATTGTTCTTTCCTTCCCTTAATGCGTCCTCTCCAGTTGTCCATTCAGCAATGTCCAAATTTTTGTCTGTACAGCAGGACTGTGGTGCTTCTTACCAATATTACCTAAGGAGCTATGCATATTGATTGCTACAGCAATAAAATGTCTGTTTGCAACTAAATGAGTCATTTATGCAACAAAAGACCACCAGCTAAAACCTGTGGTCACACAGACCTTGTCACCATAGAATTATATCTGCTATAAGGGGCAAGGGAGGCTGCAAGATTTCTTCATATCTGGTTTGATGGGGTTAATTTCCATTTTTATGCTGTTGGTTCTTTTATTGCTGCTGCTGTTAATGTTTTGGTTTATTAATTATGGGTTGCTTGCAGTGGTGGTTTTGCAGTAGTGGAAACTCTTACACTCAAGCAATGCATGCACTTGGATCAGTTCTCTTTAAGTTATGCAGCCCTCTTTACCTCTGTGACAGTGTTCCAGAGCTTTCCACTGACCACCCCCCTCAGAACATCTTTCTGAGGAGCAAAAGGGTGCTCCAGTGGGTAGGGGGAAAATAGTAAAAGTATAAATGCCCTGAGTTGCAAAATAGTAAATGCTTTCTGTAAGTGCAGCACCACTAATTGGGTACCGCCCACTGTGTTCACTTTGTATTGAAGGTTGTTTTCAGTTGTTTTCAGTTAATACTGAAGTAGGAACAAAAATAAAGGAAGGCATCTCCTGGATCTTTGTGCCCATGATGACTTTTTGGCATTTGGGTTAGCCTACACTGATAGCCAGACTCTCAAATGCAGGTATTACCCACATGATTCTCATTTCTATAGGATTGGGGCTTGTAAATGTCATTTTGATATGTATTTGTGATTTGGCTTTAAGGGAAATTTTAAGATGCTGCTTTCTGCTCAGGATTGCAAAAGGTTTGTAAAACACATGGCAAGTTGTGGTACCTGCTTGTAGTTTGATGGGCCAGAATTTGCATAGATCAGCTTTATAAAATGTAGTTATTAATAAAAATGCTGGTTTTCATAAGCATCCTGAATGCTGTTGATAGGAGGGCCTTCATAACAGATTTGCATAAAGAACTAAAGCATTTTCTTGATGAGTTCTACAATATCTTCAATACATGTTAGCGTGAGGCAAATAGGAGGCTGTGGCCGTCTAAAAAATAAATTTTTGATACTTTTCTCACAGTAGAACAGAGCAGCTGACAGTAGCGTGAAGTGTTCAGAGATTCTACCAGTTTTGGTTTTGATCATTGTACTGTACTGGCAAATCGGAGTGTGTTAATGTTACTGCCAGAAATGTAGAAGAGTGTTACAGTGTCAGTGGGGTAAAGCTTTTGGTACAGGATTGTCTAATTTGTAAGATTGCACTTTTCAGCTTGTTCACTTGAGTATGCTAATTGTGTTTGCTTGGTTTTTATGTATTTGTACTTCATAAAAGTATATTATCATGACTTCCTTACTCAAACAAGACCTGATAAGATGTCCCCAGAATTAAGCATTAAGAATAGTGTACCACTCACACTGTGGGTGTGAGTCCACTGTGCTCACAAAAGATGTTAGCAGAACAGATTGGGGTGGCTTTCAGTGATGCCCTCAGCTACACCCCCAGTCTGTTCTGAACACAGGATTACTCTTGAGAACAGTACGGAAAGTAGTACAGGAGTTATACAAAAGAAGCTGGGATAGAAGAACGAATCACTCCCTGTTCTGATGGATTTCTTCAGCATAGGAGAAAACAGCAAGGGAGAAAATGTGAAAAAAGTACTGACTGCCAATGGGAAAAGTTTCATTATTCTGTATGACCAATCGAGGGGTAGCTCTGGGCAATCATGAACTTGGGAAATCATGGCAAGACATTGAAGAAAAGGTATTCTCGCAAGAATTAGTCATGAAGTGCTTAAAATTAATACCTTGAATTCTGCATAGAAGTTTGCTCTGCAAAATGGTTGCAAGTTCTGGGATGCTTTTATAATGTTTTTCAAAGAAGTTTAGGGATGTAAGAAGTCACCTGGTTGTAGTATCAGACCATTGTTCCGTCTAGACCATGGGTCCTCAAACTGCAGCTCGCCATGCCCGTTTATCCGGCCCGCCATGCCCATTTGGACCTGCCACACATGCACCCACACGTGCATCCACCACTGTCCCAACAGTCTCCAAGCGAACAAGCCGCTGCCTTGTGTGCCGCCTTGCAGTGCGTGCCCGCCTCTCCTCGCCTCCCCTTGCTGCACACCCCAGCCCTGCCTCAGCACGCCTGCACGCACAGCCCCCGTCCTCTCGCTGGCCGCACACACTGCCGGCACCACCTTTCTGGCCTGCACCCAGCACCGGCACCTTTCCACTGGCCCCCTGGTGAAAACGTTTGAGGACCCCATTATTGTTCACATGGACTGGTAGCTTCACTACAGGGTTCCTGGATATCTGGAGATGCAAGGGATTGAACTAGAACCTTCTGCATGGGAAGCTTGTGCTTTATTACTAAGTTACATCCTTATTCCCAACTTAGATCCTGCTGAGTTGTAATGATCTGAGCCTAAGCATAGTACCAGTGCTCACTTTCCTTTCTGGGGCTCAGATCATGGTTTGAGATTGAATGTGAGCTTCCCCATTGTAAAGTAAGAAATAACTGATCTGAAGCCTTGAAGTTTTTCAAGACAATGAATTGTCTTGGTGTAATAAATCTTGCGGGGGGGAATTAACTGCACCCCTACAGTAATAAATTTCTGGTGGTTACTCTGACCAAGTCCTCATTAGTGCCTTTTGGGAAGCCAATAGAACAAAAATGGCTTAAAGTCACTAACCTTGTAGTAATATATCATCGTTCTCATTGTACAAATAGAAGACTGATTTTGTGAGAATATGTGTGCATAAAGTGGCTAGAAAACTCATGTAACTAATGTATTTTAAAGTCAAAAGCAAAGTATCTCCCACTCTTCACACAGTCCATGTGTTTGATGCATGTCTTAACATTTTAAAGAGCAACATATTCACTGACTGCTGCATCTTTCAAAAATGCATATAGTAGAAAAATATGTTGGAATATATTCATGGCTTCAAAAGAACTTTGATCCGGACTCCTAGATAATGTCTGTCTGCTCCTTATAATGCTGTTTTCAGAATACTGGTTGTGATTTATGTCCCACTACAATGTATTGTTTATGTAGAGGCATCAGTGCATTGAGTGCGAGCTCTAAGCACTGTGCCGGCTAGTATACAACAGAGGACCACTTTCAATTTCTTACCAGTTGACTGCTGCAGGCCAAATACATAGGTTTTCTGTTTACAAGCACAATTTGAACTTTCTGTCTTGAAGCGGCAAAGGACTCTTCTGGAATGATTTGGTCTAATCTGTTTGATTTTTATTGCAGAGCAAGCGTGTAGTCCCCTAGACAGTGCCAGCTGGTTCTGTGATTTTACAAAGCAGGTTCAGTGGGTATTTGGGGCGGGGGGCATCAGATCCCTTCCGCTTCAAAGAACCACAATTAAACAGCTGAAATTTATAGGGCAGGAGTAACATGAAGGCATCTTCACATCCATAATTCTCTTTTGCCTAGAATTCCCATAATCCTCAAAGTTTGAAGTATTATAGTCATCCCACAAAACTTCATCCCAAGTTTTTAAAACTTGGTATTGCCTCTATATCCAGAAAGTGTATCCAATTTTCCTAAATATAGAAACCATTTTGAACAAGGCAATGCATGAACACAGGAAAGAAACAATGGATTAATAAAGTTGTGCAGAAGTATTTTACAGGTAAACAAAACACACTTATTCAGACAACTCTAAACCTACTTATGAAAGTGATGACAAGTGCCTGAAGCAGAAATTCCTGCCTGTCTAACATGCACCACTTTGCTACTGAGTTTTCATTTCCAAAATTACTGATCATACAAGTAAGGCTAATCCTGTGATCCCTGATTTACATCTGGCTGTTATAAGTGCAAGTTTGCATTTCAAAAACAATTAAAAGTTGATGTTATGTGAATATATAGGGAAATATTCTTTACTTCATGTTTTCTGTGTGTTTATCTAAAATTTGGTGGGGCTGCACATTTCTGCAAGTAAGTGATAAACCTTGTACTGGGTTTCACAGTTTCTGATGAAACATCTGCCTGTTCAACAGGCTCCTGGGTAGAGTTGCAGATGAATGGAAATGACAATGGCAATACAAAAAATGGGGGTCTGGAACATGTCCCTTCTTCATCTTCGATCCACAACGGAGACATGGAGAAGATTCTTCTAGATGCTCAGCATGAATCTGGGCAGAACAGTTCGAGGGGTAGTTCTCACTGTGACAGGTAAGAATTGAGGATCTACCAAATGCTTTGGAACAAATAGCTTTTTCTAGTAGTAAGTGCTATTGAATTAGATATTTGTCTTATAGATGGAATGGAGACATATTAAACGGTACTGTTGTGTATATGTAGTTCCTTTGGAATGATTTAACATTTTTACAACCAAGCATCCATGTGATGTTATGCAAATAACATTAAATAAATTGTCCTATTGTTTTTCTGGTATAAGGTATTTTTAAGGTGTACTTCATCTGAGTTGGTTGGGTGCTTTAAGGTTTAAACCACTGTGCCACCTGCAGTCCTTTAAGGGGGCACTTGGGCATAATTCTGAAAGACTGGAAAAATCGCATGCACCTAGGTGATCACCTGCAAATCTGCTTTAAAAAAAACCCAACTTATTACTGTTGCCCCCTAATTCTGTCATTTCCATGGGTCTGTTTTAGATCCGTGTGGTAGGACCTGTCATACAGAGTTTTTGTAAAATACTGTGCACAAAAATGGTAGTATATATATTAATAGTAGCTTATCAATTTCTTTACTAGAATCTATTAAAATAATCAGGCAGTAAGCAGTGGGAGTGAATAAGCTTTGCCTCCTGCTTTGATCACAAAAGTGAAGAACTAAATAGGACCAGAAAAGAACCAAGTGCAGTCCTTTATTGAGGCAGAAACTCTATATTCATTCATACCTATGCTCCAAATGCCTTTTTCGATTGTGTGTGGAAATGAATAGAGAAACCCAGGTTAAACTTCATTGCAGTTTTTAACAGTGTTTGAAACCTCCTAAATAACATGCTACAGGCAAAGGTAAAGTTTTACCTGGAGGAAGTTTGTATTGTTTCCAAATATGGTATACAGCAAACACATCAGATCCTTAGAACTGTCCTGGCAATTTGTCCTTTTCCTAGAAATGTGAAAGACATTTCCATTTTGAGTTAATGAATTTTAGAAACTTTTATCATTCTGTTCTGCAAGAGGTTGTAGAAATTTCACGTAATTTAAGTGCATGAAAGTGAAGTTCTTGACATTGTACTTTAAGATCTATCTGCAAGTTAGCTTTCCTAAGCAGATTCAAGCATTTTTTTTCCTGATATGGAAATCTGTGTCGGTTTGATGTGTCACAATTTACCTTCCAAGAGAGAGGAAACATTCAGAAGCCCTCAGCCTGTTAAATTGCAGTTTTAGCTCATTACAATTCGGTATGACCCTCCCTGCTCTCATACAGCTAGAGAAGGGAAGAGCTTGCCTCTCTGAAATGGGAAAATCTGCTGAAAGGAAAGAAGCAAGAAGAGGGGCATGAAATGAGATAGTAGGAATGCACTGTCTAACAGTGAACACTTTTGTTTTTGTTCCTTTGTTATCAACTTTGAACATATTTATATCATTCTTTTTCCACTGTGGAAGCACCAGAAGTCAGACTATTTGCATTGTAATTGCGGTGTTTGTTTTTAACATGGCTGGAGGCCATTCACTACAGCCATTTGTCCTAATTTTCAAATGTGCTGGCATTCTCTTTCTAAATTTAAGTAGTTTCACTTGAAAATAGTATTTCATTGCTTCTGTTGATAATTAGAGTGCAGGCCTGCAATTATCTTCTCATAAATAAATCCCTTTGAATTCAGTGATAACTATTCCAAGATAAGAATGTATAACAGAAGTGGGCAAATTGTGTTTCTCCAGATATTGTTGGGCTCTGTTTCCCATGAGCTCCAAACAGTATGGTCTGAAGGCACATAAGGCAGCTACCAAGCTGAAGCTAAGCAGATCCGGATCTTATTAGTACTTGGAAAGGAGACCATGTAGAAGCTACACGTGTCTCATGTTGGAAGAAAGGAGACTCAGAAATGCAGTAACCAAATAAAATAATGGAAGTTGTAGTCTGACAAAATCTGGAGGGCCATATGTTTCTTACCATGGACATAAGAATACCTGCTTAGACTCTTCCTTATGCACATATACACACATTCAGTTGTCCCTCATGAAGAGCAGTGTCTGGCAGCCTGTTTTGCTCCATGTGTCAGATTACATCTCTAGACCAAGCTGATAGGGCAGATGATGCCTTCCTATAAAGTCACCCAGCACCCTGTCCATTTTTTCCTCTTTGTACAGAGGTAAGTCCAGAGAAAGCAACTCCTGCTGGTGGTTAAGGTGCCAGCATCTACAAGCATCAACCAAGATCTTACTGCAATACATTTGGACCACCTTCTTCTACTTACTTTCCAAATGGTGGACACACTGGCAGCCATACCCTATATGCCTTTTAGTTGGCACATGTCTGCCTCTAAACAATCTCTGTTTATCTATGTACCTCAGAGGATTTGTTTCCCAGACTTTTAAAACAAAGGAGGCACACTGACAGGATCATATCCTTTGTTCAGGATTTGCTTGCTTATATCATCTTGACGGAATTGGAGATCTTCTGAGCTGCTTAGGAGAGCCAGGTTCCAGACCCCACTTATCCATGAAGCTCACTGGTGTCTTTGGGCCAGTCACAGACTCTCAGCCTAACCTAACTCATAAGTTTAGGAAATCTCCATAAGGAAAAGGAGGGATAGAAATGCAGGGTGGTGGTGGTGGTGGAGGAAGAAGAGATGTAGCCCTGTCCACACAATCATTACTGGCATCCTGGTAAAACTACCAACACTTTCCCTGGATCCTTGGTTGGGTTGCTTTGGTTCAATTGCTTGGATTCTGCAAAAATGCCGCCTTGGCTTTCTGCTCTTGTTTCTTTGGGTTCCATATTGTCCTTGAAGAACTGCAACTTTATTGGCATCAATAATTCTGATCTACAAATTTTGAGAAATTAGTGACCTCTGAGATAAAATGTGCTAATTCTTACATATTTTGATTAGATGAATTAGAAAACAGGCTATAAAGGTGCTAGTTGGCTAAAGTTTTTGGGATATTTCACGGTAAAGTTTTATACACAGGCGAGTATATTTGCCTACAAGGGAGGCAGGTGTCCAGTGATCGTGATGCCTTGTAACTTCTCAACAAAGTACGGTAGAACAATGAAAATGGTACCACATGGAAATGTATAAATTTATCTTCACTTTGAGACTAAAGATTATCGCCTAACTGTAATTTATTGTTCTTTTATTGCAAGGTACATTTGTCTTGGTCAGATCTACGGATCCTACAGTTACATCTGGTGGCTTGTGAAAGTGTCATTGACTAACATTTCCAAGGAACAGTTGTGTGATATTTTCCCCTAGAAGCCAAGATGCCTCAAAACTGTGTAAACAACGCACATAACTTCTGCTACATTTGTGGCGAAGTTATATTTGCATCTCAAAAGTACAGTATGACAGCAGTGGTTAAAAAAGGCAGACCACCTATATTTTGGATGCAAAATAGGGGATCAGGACAAGAGTTCGGCCCCTCATTATTGTTGCATTATATGTGCAACTTATCTGCATCATTGGATAAACAAGAAGAAAAAGTCCATGCCTTTCGCAGTCCTAATGGTGTGGAGGGAAACCACCAATCATAGTAGCGACTGCTATTTCCCCCAGTTGCAAAAGAAAGAAGTAGTGGACCATGGAATATCCAAGCATTCCATCTGCACTGCATCCTGTACCCCATGGTGAGGACTTGCCAATTCCACATCCACCAGAATCCTACTCTCTAGGCTCAGATGATGATAAAGACAGTGAGCTGGATGCAGCTGATCCAGGGCTATCAATGTCAGCGGACCCAAAGTTAAGCCCACAGTATGCTCTTCCTGAACCACATCTAATTTCACAGAGTGAACTAAATGACCATTCTTATTGTGATATCACAATATCTGCAGAAAAGTTATGGAGCATAACCACACATCCCCTTCATAAATTTGAAAGATTTTGATGCAATTTTGACATGAAGCTGTATCATGGAAACTGGAGCCAATTAATATTCAGGACTTAATTTTTCTTTATTAGTGACCCAGTTCTGGTAAAATTTAGCTACTTTCATTTCTGAGGCTTTCTTCTTGTAGACCAGTGTAATCTTCTGTAAAATGTGGAAACACTTTTTCATAAGTTCATTGTGTGAAATGTTTCTCATGCAAGATGTGACATTAAAATGTATTTGATCATAAGTATACATAGTAATTTAATATTTTATATAGCAATAGTAACCGTAATTATATCATTCTTCTAGTCCTTCTCCTCAAGAAGACGGACAGATAATGTTTGATGTGGAAATGCACACAAGTAAAGACAATAGTTCTCAGGTACTATTTTCCTACTGCTTTCCTACCATGCTGTTTCAGCTGGATTTATAGGACACAATTTTAAAGAGTTTTCTAGCAATGTGTTTTCATTTATTTTAATTTTTAAAATGGCATAATCTGCATTTGGCTTTGAATGAGTGAAGAGAAATTTCCATGTTGCACTTATTCTAGGGATAGCTAAAATAACTACCGTATTTTTCACTCTATAAGACGCACCTGACCATAAGACGCACCTAGTTTTTAGAGGAGGAAAACAAGAAAAAAAATATTCTGAATCAAATGGTTTACTAAACTATTTAATAAACTGTAACAGAATACAGTAATACCGTATTTCAACCTTGTAAAGTGAACAGCAGTCAACAGTGGCATTAAGAACCGTCATCACTGTCATTAACAAAAGAGAGACTTTAAAGTTCGAGTACTCTTCTAGTTTTCGTTGAACCCATAGAACTCATCATCACTAGAGTCAGAATTTATGAAGCTCTGTTGCTCACAATCACTGACATCACTTTCTTAGTAGTGGAATTATTGAAGGAATCCACAATCTACACCAGTTATACAAGAGCTGCTGCAGACAATTCAATAACAAATCTAAAAAAGCCAGTAATGTCCACGCTGCCCTACTAGTAAATAATAGAAAAAAACTTCTAACAAAAAATGAGATATTGTATGGTAACACAGCGGACTAAGTAGCCTTTGAAGAATAAACTTCATACACGTAGGTAATGCTGTTCAAATATCCACTGATCCTAAAAAAAATGTGTCTGATCAACTAACAGATAACTGATCCATGGAAAGCTTCCTGATAATCACAGGCACATTCCCCATCACTTCCTCATGGGCTTCATTAAAAGATGGGTTGCCATTTGAAAACACACACCGACCTGTGATTAACAGCTCTCACCTGCTCCGGAGGAGGGGGGCAGAGCAGGGCGTGCCGAGCGCGTGCCGGCCAGGTGGTGCCACGTGGGGCCGGCAGCGTGCCAGCGGTGGTCTTCCAGGCGGTGGGGGTGAGCAGTCCGTCTCTCCGTGCGGCCAGTGGATTAAAGGCCACGGCTCCTCCTCCTCCGCACTTCTCCCCCTGAGCGGCACAGCTCTCACTTGCGCCGGGGGGGGTGGGCAGAGCAGGGCGCACCGGGCATGTGCCGGCCAGGTTGTGCCATGTGTCCCGGGCATCGGGCACACACACATTCGCTCTATAAGACGCACAGACATTTCCCCTTACTTTTGAGGGGGGGGGAGTGTGTCTTATAGAGCGAAAAATACAGTATGTTAAAAATATGTTTAACTTGCATTGCTAGAACAAAAGGTGGCGTAAACCACAGAGTAGGACATAGATTGTGGGCACCCCAGCCTCTTTCCCTTCCCTGGCCGTAAATCTAGACAGCTGAAAACAGCCACCTAAATAAAATGCAGAGCACCAGGTATAGCATCAGTAGGGATTGGGAGGCTTATGAACATTTACCCTGATACTCATAACATTTGTGCAGTTTTATATCTCAAAAAGATTGCATAGCAGTGTCTGAAAATTTAGCCATTACTTCACATATTTTGATTCCTGCAGTGGAAAAACAAAAAAAAAATTGATGTAAAAACATTGATTGTGATAATAGAACATGCCCCTCCTCCAGGTACTCACCCTCCTAATGTCCTTCACGGAGGGCTCCCGGAGAAGGGTCTCTGCCACCAATCTCAAGGGGCGGGCAGGCGTATATGGATGTAAGCGCTCCTTTAGGTAACCAGGTCCCAAGCCGTTTAGGGCTTTATAGGTGATAACCAACACCTTGAATTGGGCCCAGACTTCATTGGGGAGCCAGTGACGCTGACAGAGGACTGGAGTTATGTGAGCACAACGCCCAGTCCCCGTCAGCAACCTGGCAGCTCTGTTTTGCACCAATTGAAGTATCTGGACTGTCTTCAAGGGCGACCCCACGTAGCACGCGTTACAGGAGTCTAGTCGGGAAGTTACCAATGCGTGAGTCACTGTCACCAGGTAGTCGTTCTCCAGGTAGGGATGCAGCTGGTGAATCGGCCAAAGCTGAAAGAAAGTGCTCCTTGCCACCGCTGTTAACTCGAGCGTCCAGCAAAAGCTCAGGATCAAGGAGCACTCCCAAGCTGCGGACCTTGTCCTTCAGAGGGAGTGCAACCCCATTCAGGACAAGGTCAAGGTCCCCTTCCACAAAGCCCGAACTGCCTACCAACAAGACCTCCGTCTTGTCTGGATTGAGCTTCAGTTTATTGGCACTCATCCAGCCCATTACCTCGGCCAGGCACCGGTTCAGTGCAGCCACTGCCTTACCTGGATTGGTGGAGAACGAGAGGTAGAGCTGGGTATCACCAGCATACTGATGATTCCGCAGCCCACACCTCCTAATGACCTCTCCCAGCGGTTTCATGTAGATGTTAAATAGCAAGGGGGACAAAATGGACCCCTGCGGAACTCCATGGCATAACTGCCATGGCGCAGAGCCATAGTCCCCCAGTACCACCTTCTGCAAAGCAGTGCCTCCAACCCCCAGTCTCGCTAGCCTATCCAGAAGGATACAATGGTCGATGGTATCGAAAGCCACTGAGAGGTCCAGGAGGACCAACAGGGACGCACTCCCCCTGTCTCTCTCCCTGCACAGGTCATCATACAGGGCGACCAAGGCAGATTCAGTACCATACCCGGGTCTGAAGCCGGACTGAAATGGGTCCAGATAATCAGTTTCATCCAAGAGTGCTTGGAGTTGTCCCGCCACCAACCGCTCCAACACCTTGCCCAAAAATGGGATTTTGGCCACCGGTCTGTAATTGGTGGCCATCTCTGGATCCAGAGATGCCTTCTTTAGGACTGGTCGGACTACCGCCTCCTTTAAAGGGGCAGGTACCTGGCCATCCCTCAGTGAGGCATTGACAACCTCCAGGATCCAGGTCCCTATCCAGTGCTTGGCATTGTTAAGTAGCCAAGATGGGCAAGGGTCCAATAGACAGGTGGTGGGATGTACTTGTCCAAGCACCTTGTCCACATCATCAGGCCACAATAACTGAAACTCATCCTAGCAAATGTATATAGCATGTCAGAGTGTTGGGAAAGGCTCCCTGTCTGGTTTCGCAGTAATTGCAGTGAGAGTCTCAATATCAACCCAAGTGAGCAGGGAACATCTGAGTTGCCTCAACCTGAGGAACATTTTTTGATAAGAAGCTGGATGCAGATTTGTTGAGGTGGTGTGCCCAAGACAGTCTCATATGGAATATAGGCCACTAAAAAGCCTAGAGAAAATAGCCAATGCGGTGGAGTAATCAAGACTACATTTTCCCTTAGGAATTCCTCCTGGACAGATTGGCTGATCTGTCAAACAGGAAACCTTTGTTTTTAAGGTGGGTTTATTTGACAAGAATGTCAATGGGTGTAAAGAGTTTCTTGCAGTCCCTTCTGAAAAGAAACGTCATAATCCCATCTTACTCCTATTTTATAAAGTGGGATTAGAAGTTGGATAGACTTTCAAACAATCCTTTGTAGCAGGATCCCTGGGCTTGAGGGGAGGGGTTCACAACCCTCAGGTGTTTCCTCAGTTTTTCAAGTGTACCTGAGGATGGGAGCATCTTGTGAACATGAAAAGCTAATCTGTCAGCGAGGATAACCCTGTGGATTTTGTATGTTCCAGGGATGCTAGTAACCCTGTGGCAGTTGCAAAATTTGACAGCTGGCCTTTATTTTAACGTGGCAAAAAAGCTTCAGCAAGCTGTAAAAGAGCTTGAGGAGTGAGGGAAGCCTCTGCCAACTGCCCTCAAATACTGCTTGAGAATTTTTGGTATGTCTGTCCAAGGACTATTAAAAAGGGAAGATAGCTGGGATGCAAATGGAAAACCACTTTCTGAACCTCAAGAATTGTGTTATTTAAAATACTGGAAATGACTAAATATATGCTTTTACACTAGTAATTCAGTTAGTGTGGGCCTTTAATGATGTACCCTTGCTCTGTTTTGAATGTTGCAAGTTCTGAATGGTTAGCTAAATTGGAATCCCTCCATAATTGCAGACAGTCTTCAAGTGCATTTATAAGTATTCCAGTGTACTGCTGTCATGCTTTCTTAAATTCTGTAATAAATGCCACAAGGAAGAGTTGAGTGAATTAGAGTGTGTATTTTCAGTCTGAAGAGGAAGCAGTAGAAGGAGAGAAGGAGGTGGAAGTTCTGAAGAAAAGTGCTGACTGGGTTTCAGACTGGTCAAGTAGACCTGAAAACATTCCTCCCAAGTGAGTAGAAATTTATCATAAATTTACCTGAAAAAAATGTGCTGCAGTTGAATATGAATCGTTTTTCTCAAAGGGAATGGTTAAAGGTCTGCTTAAAACTGGCTTTCTCATTTTCTCTCAAAACTAAACCAGTTCTGACCTTCATAAATGTAACTATATCTAGAAAGTATAAACTGCCCCTCTACTTCTTCCCACTCCCCAACCATCCTCTCTGTTGCATGGTGTGCCCATGTTGAAAAGCAGCTCCTCTTAGGAGTCAAACAGGAATCTTCCCTTCTGTGACACTTCTAGGGAAGGCATACCAGGAAGGTAATTTACTTTAACCAGAAATCTCTCTTCTTTCCAGTGCTTAACATAAAATCATAGGGTTAGGATCAACCCTAGCAGAGTCCCATCTCTCTAGCATTCAGACTTCCTCTTGTGCTCAGTTCAAGTGAATGCTTGTGAAACAAAGGGTGTGCATCCAACAGCTTCTACATCCAGTGCAACAGTGTGAATGGCTGCTGCAGGTGGTGTGGAAGGAGGACACTGTCTGTGCAGTGTGTTGGGCACAGTTCCTGGCACTCGATTGTGAGGAACTCAACCTCCGGGTCACTTCTTTGCTTTCCTGGTTCTTGGCATTATTGCTGCAGGTTACTCTGAGCACAGCTGGGCATAAAGCTGCACTTGGCTTCTGTGAGGAGCAAGGCATGAGCCTGGCCTTGCTTGACGTAAATTGCCCAACTGTATTGCAGTGTATTTTGCAGAAAAGCTGGCTTGTTCAACAGCAGCGTGAAAGGAATAAAGGAGGCTACTGCCTGATATCTGTGAGCCTGTTCATCGCAATGTCCTCTCACATAAATAAGGTGCGGTGTGTGTGTATGGCTCAGAAGTAGAAGCGAAGGAATACTTTAACGATATTTGCAGGATTGCTAATGTGGCACAGAACAAGTATGATTCTTCAGTTTCTCTCTATCTGTACAAGTGGGCTAATGCTTATTTGATATTCAGGAATTCTAGGCTGCTCTCAAGTATCCTTAAATGCAGAGGATCCCTTGTGTGTATGTGAAAAGTAGGAGACAGATACCAGTATCACGATTTCCAAAAGCAGTGTCCTCTCAGGACAAGTTTGTCTGATCTTCTGCGGCTCCTGTGCTCTCAATAACTCTTGAGTCGTAGTTCTATCATTTATTTTATTTAAAGCTTTTATAGATGTTCCATTACTAGCGTATAATACCTCATAAGTGATAACTCTTGGCAGTTGTGCTTTTTAAGTATCTAAATGTAGTGTGTTCTGTATGGTGCTATACTTTTTCCCCCTTCTAGGGAGTTTCACTTCAGACATCCTAAGCGAGCGGTATCTTTAAGTATGAGGAAGAGTGGAGCCATGAAGAAAGGTGGCATTTTCTCGGCTGAGTTTCTTAAGGTTTTCATTCCATCTCTGTTCATATCTCATGTTTTGGCTTTGGGACTAGGGTAAGTATTAACATGTATGGTTCTGTCAGTAATTTTGGTAGGTCTTAAGAATTTGCTCTACTAAATTATATTGAAGAGTTGTGAAAATAACCTGGTGAGAATTCCACTATGTTTGGAGATACACTGGAAAGAACTTTGTGAACTGTATGTTTGATCTCTGAGAGGATCAGTATATAACCAAGCGCAGAAGTACAGAAAAAATGTACACTACGAATAGATTACACCATATTTTATCACACAAACAGCTTACAACTATAAAAGTATAATTTTACACATCCACACATACATATCAGTAAACACAGATCATCTTGAGTTCTTAGGACCACTCAAAATTGTTTTCGTAGTTGGTGGCACTGCTCCTAGCAGGGTATAAAAGTTAACTGCTTGGCTGAAGGACAGGTATCAACTGTATTGTTAAAGAAATCAGCTTTTCTTAACACTGAATTAGAATTTGCTGTGTGTTTGTATTTGGAGGAAGGAGGAGTAGATATGCCATTGGCAGAAATATACACAGCCTTTCTTACCTGCTACTGAGATCTGAAAAATACATTGTTAATAATTTTAAAAAATAAGAAATCCTTTGTCCAAAGGTCTTAATGAACAACAGTTGACAATGTTTAGTATCATTTTGTTTTCCAGAGTTTATTTAATATCACTGGATTTAATATCCATTATCATCTTTCTCAGTAAAATTTCCCAGTACAACTGCTTCCCCTTGAAAGTGTAGTTTAAATGATTCAAATAGTGTCTTTGCATATCTTCACTCTTTGGAAGGGGAAAAAACCTATAGATTTCTGGCTTGTGGGATCCACTTGGTTTTTACTAGAATCCTGAGGTTCACCATTCAATGTCTGGTGCAAAAGACATACACCTAGAAATTAAATCAACCTAACTTGAAGCATTTGTTTAGAATTCTGGGGCTCAGTGGAGTTCACAATCCCTCCACGCAAAAATCTTACTACCTGATATCTCAAGGTGTTCCCCTGCCCCTGCACCCGAATTTCAGCAATATAATGTAGGATGTTTCAACATTTATTTTGTGGCTGCTAGTGAAACTGTTGAGAGTTAAAAACCTGTGTTGTTGTGTTGAAAAGATCTCCCTTTTGCCAGCCCCTGCTATAGGTGTTAATAGTTGCCTTTCCATCTTCTCTGCCTTACCTTTAAAAAGTGTGTCATAATCATGGGCTGCATGAATGAGTCTCCAAGACAAGCGTGTGTACTTGGTGGGTGTTCATTGTAAGCTGGATGGGAAGAATAAAGTATAGCTGAAAAGTACTTGCAACAGAGGGAATTAATAAAATGCCAATATATTTTGCTTTCCACTTCATTTCAGTATCTACATTGGAAAACGACTGACCACACCTTCAGCTAGTACTTACTGAATGAAGCGGTGCGCAGACCCTGGAAATCCTTGTGATCTGTGAAGGTGTTGATGTCACGCTAGTACATTTTGAATTTGAGACAGTTTTAAGCATGATTCCTCCCCCCCTTCTCAGCCTCCACCTTGTTTTTACATATCCAGGTTCCAGTAACTCTCGGGATTCAGTATTGTATTGGAACTCTGCGGAGGTGTGTCGCTTGCCGTCTCAACCCTTTCCCTAGCTGTCCTCCACATCATGCAAGACACATCAGAGCTGCCTAACAGAGTTTACAATTGCCTATATATTGCAAGGGCTTCTTTCCGTGCAAAGTGCCACCAGCAAATTATAATTTTATCAGTGATGCTGTTGCCTCCTTTTTACAACAGGAAATAAGCTGCATAGTGCATATTTGAACTGTTGAGTATAACAATCTCCAGTCTCTAAAACAATTTGAGAATTAGCAGAAGCTGGTTATAAAACAAAGTAAATGTTATTTTTCCTTAAGTGTAGCTTATTTTACAATTCTCTCTCTTCTTTTTTTTAGTTTGATTTTAGGAGGCAAAAACTGCACAAAAATCAAAGCAGGATAAAAATTTATTCATCAGCAACTTTTAATACCGAGTATCTCTAATTATCTTTTCTATGATGTAGTGAGTTTATTTCTGGTTAAAAAAAAGGCTTGTCTGATGTCTAGAAATCGTTTTTAAAAAGAACTGCATTATTTGCATGTGAAGAATCTTCTAGTATTCATCAGCATTTTATTTAATGAAAGTTTTCTTTGTAAAAGTAGTTTGACTTGAAGTATTTTTTGAAGTATTTAGACTCCCTGTAAAAGGAGATTCTACCTGTTATGGAATCAGCTGCAATTTGCAGAGATGGCTGTTTCAGCAATTACTTGAGGCATCCTACCTGTGAACAGTCTTGCAGTTTTGTAAAACACAATTTACAAAGCTTGAAACTATCTTATGTGGTTAAGTTTCCATACTCCCTTTTGTATGGCTTTTTGTTGAATCTCGCTTGGCAATACCTGAAATCCTAAGGAGCTTGGTGATATCTCATATAGCTAGATAGCAGTCTTGCTAATGGGAACACTTGGCCTTATCCTCCTCCAAATAACCCCCCCCTTTTTTTTTCAAAATGTGAAGCTTAGTTTGAAATTGTTTGAACTCATATAGGCAAACAAATGTCCCTAAGTAGATTTGTATTGGGTTTTGGAATGTGTAGCATGCTTCTGAAGAATAGAACATTCTGTTTTATATATATAAATATATAAATGACAGGCTTTAATACTACATATTTAGGAAATCATTATTAATTTTAGAATTAGGAAAAAATCATTGAACTTTTTCATTCTATTATTAGAAAAAATATACATGCAAAACTAGGAGACAGCAAACCTGTAGAAGCAGGTCCTCTTTTTTTCTATTTGTTTCAGACTTCTCAAAGTTGGAAAGTTTTGGCAGTGCACAGCATGGTGATTTATGCCAGTGGGTAGAGGTGAACCTAATGAAGCAGAGAGCATAAGCATGCAATCCATTCCTAAAGTATGCTTATATCAGTTGTTGATTCTGTAACACTTAAAGGATTGTTTTTATTTCACTAATTCTGGGTCTTTTTGCTCCCTTTAGCTTTGACTGGTAGCACTTATATTACTTGCAACAATATATTTATTTCCTGTGTGGATATCGGGGTAATTTTGTAGTGATTAAATAAAATAAGGGTCTTTTTTAAAAGAAATAGCATTGAACAACATACCTGAGTAGGTTTCAAAGTCTGACAGTACTTTCAGCATCAATTCTTGTATCCTCTTTTGTAACACAATTGGAATACAGAAGAATGTATATGGAATTGGGACCATGTTCATGAAAAACAAAAATAAAGCTTCATTCCTTTCCAATTACATGATGATTAATCTGAAGAATGCTGTGTGATGAGTTAGCAAATCTACATGCTTGTGACTAAACACCTTCACTAATATTTTTCAAAAAAGGTATCAGCTATAAAGCTTTTTTAAAATAAATATTGTTAGGAGAGCTATCCTGTTGTTCCTGGAGAGCATCCCAGAGACCAGAGGATTTTCCAAGTCCTGCTGCTGAAGCCGGAGACGCTGCTACAACTTTGGGGAGAGGGGCTCCAAGACAGGATCCCCCCCCTTCTCCCTTGCAGCTATGGCAAACGGAGCCACAGCTCCTGTTCCCTGAGGGTGCAAACATGGCTTCAGAGGACACTGTAAAGGGATAGTGCTGTGGGCAGGGGGAAGAATGGCTGAAGAGCTACCACCTTTCCAGTCCCCCTCCCACCAGCGTGCTGCCTCTAGATGGACTAAGAAGCCCGTCTGGAGATAAAATAAATGGGGAGATAGAGAGGTGAAAAATACCTCCATTGCTTCGTCTACCCTGCCAGTAGCAGCCTGGTAGGGCTTGCTATCCAGAAGTTTCTGTCTTTGGAGGCTTCTGCCTTAGGGGCCACGATTGTAGGATTGCCCCTGAATAGCTTTATACCTGTTTACAGTTTGAGGGGGGCAGGCGGGAATACAGACCTCGTTTTTCAAACGATCAACGAGGCTTTGAAATATTTGTACATAGGATTGGACAGGCATGCATAAACTCGCACATTAAGAAGATGCAGCTGGCTGAACTGCAACACTAACAAAACCCACACCTGGTTACCGTGTTAAGACATGAAAACTAAAAAGAAACTGTTGATCCTAAAAAAAATGCATTGCTGAAATTATTGGAGTTAACTGAGCCAAAGTGATTATGCATTCTTCATATTTAGTTAGCACTTTGTAACATTATATACAGTTTACAGTACATGTATAAGTTGTAGCGATAAACATTTTGTGCCATTAAAGCTGTCACAAACCTACATTTCTGCTCATTCATTGCCTTTTTTTAACAAGAAAACGTTTTGATACACTTGGGACCTCTCCTAATACATTTTAAGGTGTTCAGCCAAAGCTTCGTTAGGAACATCTGAACATTTTAAGGGTTAATGTTACAAGCATGTGCTGTAAGCATGTGCGTCCTGGGTAGGTGTAAAAGTGCCAAAATAGCCTGTCTCTCTGCAAACTCCAGTTCACTGTGCCGTGATGTGTGAAAACTCCAGGACCCTTGAGTTAAAAGAGCTTACACTGAACAGCGTTTTGCCACAATCTAGCTGGACCTTTTCAGATCAAATATTCTATCCTTTTCTTGCTTCCATTTAACCAGATGTTGAAGAAAATGCTCCCTGATGTTCTTTCACTAAATTTCTAGTGTGTTTTCCAAGTGACTTGCATCCCCCAAAATTGCACAACTGTGTGAACCCTGTCAATTTCAGGACAAAAATTTTCACAATCTCAGCTGTTCTAAAACCCAAGGTTTAGATCGAAAAGGTGACCCATACTTTAATCTGTTATGTTTTCAGTGCTGCTGCAGATTGTTTTCTGTGTACATTAACTGGGCAGAGTTCTTCATTTTAATAATGAGTGTGGAAACTGGTCTTTTCGCCCTAAAACAGAAATACTGGTGTGGCTTGGGCAAGGCAAGAGGGATGCGTGTGCAGGTTTTGTGGAAAAATATTCACAAAAAACAGGGTTTCCCTGTTTGAATCTGGAAAGGAGGCTGGGCAAATGGATTCTTGGGAACTTGAAGTGAATGTGGCATGTAGACATTTTTATGCAATTCCATACAGACTATCAGCTCATCCAAGTTCTTAATCTGAACCATAGAATCAGCTCCTTTTGGAGCAGTAGGAAAGGCTGGTATATCAAATGTTTCAAAATGTAGGATTCAAAATGTTTGCCTGGTTTCCAAGGGGTTGCATGTTCCCAGTGAAAACATTGAACTTTCTTCCTTGAATAGCTAATTCTCATATGTATCTGACACTTCCTGAGATATTTGTTTTAAAGACAGTTGCATGGAATTTGGGACACAGTCCTTACTCCCTTAAATACAATTTACTTGAATCCTAACCTAAATTTTCTGGAGGATCTTTGGTCACATCACATAAGATGTATTACCCTTTATGTCTTTTGCCTTTCAAGTTCAAGGCAAATAAGATCAGTGCATGTTAACCAGCAAAAGCAGCATATGAAACAGTAGAAAGAATCAGACAAATCTAGAGTAGCATCCAATGAGAATTAAATGAAATGGCTTCAATCCCATTCATTTCAAAGGTTCCATTCTTCATAGGACTAACATGGACATTCACCCAAACTATCTGGATAGAAAAGTTTCTGGCTGACATCCAATTTTGTCAGTGTCAGTGTAAAAGGTAGGACATGGTTCTATCAATTGTGTCCCCAGTGCTCATAAACTTTCTGGCTTCCAGTGTAGGGTAGCGAGACCATCTTGACCTCCTATTCTGCATTTCAGATGGTTATTTTCAACCATCTCACTGTGGTCAAGGGCTTTGAAGGTGGAGAAGAGCAACCTGAACACCCCATATCCTAGCGGCCTTGATCACCTTCCCTGCTTGTCCTCTGAAGAGCCCTGTTTGCTTCTCTGACATCAAATTTCCAGTCTCGAAGCATCCAGCAAGTGGCTTTCCATGCCAGCTGCAAGACGGAGGAGTGGAGTAGGGTACCCAGCTCCAAGATCATAGCTTTGTTTCTGACCTCAGACCTGGGAATCGATATCATATGGCCCCCTAAAAGCTGTCTAGGGGCCATGGGATTGCGCTCAAAAATAGCTTTTTAAAACCCAGCAAAACAAGCACAGTAACGAGTAACAAAATGGATTACAAACAGGGATAAAGAAACTGCTTTTGCACAGTCCTATTCGGGATGCATATCGCATGCAGACCGGTTAATTACAGCTCGCAGCATAAACAGGCAAGGCAGCAATTCAGAGTGTTAAGATCTGACTCCCTTTGTTAAAGTGACTGGAATAAAGAAGAGAATCTTACTTCTGCCTTCGTACAATTTGGTAGTGCTGACAAAGGCCCCGATGCCGCATACATGCAACTCTACGCTCCTTTCCTGGATCAGTGGCCCAAGGGAAGAAAAGCGGCAGGAGGCGTCCTCTCGCCCACCGGGATCCCTGAGCACCGGCCGTCGCCGGCTCGCCTGTCCAAGGAAGAGGGCGAGCGGCGGGGCTGCGCGGGCGCACGTCCAGGCGGCACCGTCCTCGGCTTGCTGGCGCGAGCGCGGTGCGGCCGGGCGGCTCTCGCCATTGGCTGGGGCTGCGGTGGCCTGACGAGTGACGTCACGCGGGCCCCGCCCAGCCGGGACGGGGCTCCTGACGCCTTTCGCTGCGAGGGGCCGCTGCCCCGCCGAGAGCGGGGGCCGCGCAGGGCTCGGGGCGGCGCGCAGCGGGGACGGACCGAAGCCCGAGCGCGGTGCGAGCGGAGCTCCTGCGGCGGCGCGGCTTGGCTTGGCTGCAACGGGCTCTGCGGCAGAGAAGCGTGTTCGCATTCCATGCATGGGAGCGCAGCAGGCCGCCTAGATACTGGTTCCTGCATGATGCATTATCTTGCAGAATCGGCAGCGGGGAATACCTTTGCAGGGCCCAGAGACCTATTATTATTATTATTATTATTATTATTATTATTATTATTATTATTTCTATACTGCCAGATGTTCATCATCATCATCACCACTTTGGCTCTCAAGGTGGCTTTCGATTTAAGTATGGCATAAAGTCAGCCTATACTGAGGATACACGAACACTGATAGAAAGGCCCCATTCTCATTAGGTGAGACTATTTGGGCTAGAACACTTCAGCATGTACATAAGGGTTGGTTAGCACAGGTGCTCATTAGCAAACCCATTTGCTGGGTGTTGATCTTTATGTCAGTAAAATGCCATCCGCGTTCAAAAGGATATGTACGTATTTGCAGGCTTGGGGGAATCTTGAATGTTTGCAAAAAATACGTTTGAGAAAAACAACCTCTGAGGATTGGGAAGAGGTGAGGAAACATGCTGACTGACAATTTAGAAGAAAAGCAAATTTGGACTGGAACGGAACGGAACGGAATGGAATGAAGTGTCTTGGGAGAAGAAGTGTCCCAAAGCGATGTTTTATAGCAGGTCCCACTTTTCATTGAGTGCTTTCTGTACCTAGAAATCAATATCCCAGCCCAACATGTTCAGGAAAAGAGCTCTGAACTAGACATCTCTCTGATCCCTCATTTTCTGTGTGCCAGGATGGATTAATTTGGACCAGATTGGATTGGAGAACTGTTTAATTATGTGAGTTCTACCTGCAGTTCAACATCCGCTGTGATCTGCCTCTCATGGACAGAACTAGTCTCAGTAGCTTCAGTCTCATCAGTGGAATTTGTCAACAAATTTGTATAAATGGAGTTCCAAAATGTGTCCTTTGTACATTTCATTTATTCCTCAAAGAAGAAAAGAAACATTGCAATAACTGGGACACCCTCTTTTCGGTTTTGTTATTTCTCAAAACTTTTCCCCCAGGTAGACGGGGGTGGGGGGGTGGCAAAAATAGCACAAGGCAGTGGAACCTAGTCTCCAGACAATGGCATCCTTGTAGGACGGCATTTATCGACAGCATCCTTTGACCTCCTACGGAGAGCGATGAAAACATGGTTGGGAAGTCACACACGACTAATATTTAATGTAGGCAGGCAGTGAGCCAAAAACTTTAACGAAGGTCCCCAGAGGCCCTGCTGTGAGATTAGAATATGGTGCAGACAGAATAATTCATGGTTTTTAGGGGGCCCTCTCTGCAGAGCAGCTGAGTCTTTTGAATGGCACCATAGCTGGGAGCCAGCACTAACATTCTCTTCCCAAGGATTACGCTTGTAGGGTCAAAGCAAATTCCCATGTTCTTGATGCTTGGGGGAGTGAGGATGTGTTATGACAGAAGGGTCTGTATATGCGGCAAGCATTGCTCCTTTGAGTGAGAGGTGGAGAAGGGGCTAAGAGAAGAGATGTAGGTGAGGGTTGTGAGGCAGGCCACCACAACTCAGGTATGTGGATGCAGTCAAAGTGTACGGTTTAATTGTGAAGAACCCCATATTGCCCTTGTGGAATTGAGGTCTATTTGTATCTGTACACCATAGACCTTTATGTCTATGTTACTTCTATATCAGGCTGTATCCTCCCTACTGCAAGGGTGAGGAACCTTTGGCTCAGGGGCGGCTTTCGGCCTGCCCATCCCTCTGCAGTTCCTGCAGATAGCCATGCCCCTTCCCCTGGCTTCCATTCCCTGAACCACCATCATTCAGTGGTTTGCCAGATACTGCGCATTTCCCCCACCCCTGCATTCCAGTGGGAGGTAGAGCATCAAGGACAATTTGGATAGAGCATCAAGAAGGCAATCATCTAATCTGAAAACAAGACTTTTCACTATGAGAATGAGCCTTAATGAGCTGTGGGCTCAGACACTCATCCCTCCTCTCTCTTCTTCCATGCCTGATTCAAGGACAAAAGCTCCCACTTTTCATCCTAAATGAACGATTCTCCCCCTGTGATGATAGATCTCCAGTAATGATGATTCACTTTGATTATGGCTGGAGGAAACAAGTCATAGCAAATGGAGGGTTCTGATGTCTTTTCAGATGTAAAAAAGGCACGAGAGGACAAATTATTATTATTATTATTATTATTATTATTATTATTATTATTATTATAACATTTCTATGCTGCCCCTTGCTGAAACCTCGGGGCGGCTTACAACACAATAAAATACATTGAAATACAATAGAACATAATAAATTACCATTAAATACAAAAATACACTGAGTTACAAATATAAAATTTGAGCCCAAGTTCCATTGTTTCCCTTTCTTGTAGCCAGAAGCCAGCATTGGCACCAAAGGTAAGCATGTCTGGGCACCTGGTTTGGGCACACACTGCAGCATGGGGCCACAGACAAGAGCTCCCTGGAGCTGCGGATCTTCTATCCTGCTTGTTCTG